TTATCTCATCGGTTGTGTTAGAGAATAATAATCACGATGGGTTTTCGCGTTCATCAATTGTTCATAATTACTGCATTTTCTGCTTGACTCTGCCGGTGGACTCTTAAAATGCTCCGAACAGTATGCCAACAGTTACAGAATTGCCTAAGTTCTGCAACTATTCCAATGTTTAATTAGAAAAGTGGATTTGGCAAAAACGTGTTTTCAGCAATTCTTCCTCAGGCCAAAACAGTTGCAGGGACTGAAACGGCCAGTTATATGTAGAGTTTAAATGGTTCTCAGGGTAGGCGGGGGGAGGTGCAATTAGCCAGCGTGGTGTCCCCTCGTCTCACGCGTGCTGGCGCCAGCCCGTTGAGGACGTTGGGTCTGGGAAGTATGGAAGAGGGATTGTTACTCCTTCGGCTGTGGCGAACACCCGTTTGCGCAGGCCTTTAGAGTAGTGTGTTGGTGCCTGGCATATTACTTGAAAGGCCTCTTTTGCGCCAACTTGGTGGTTCTTATCGATCAACTATACGAGGATTAAACTTGAAATCGATCGATTTTCTCGTTTGCCGAGCCAGCCTGGTATGTGTTCGCGCACCCTCTTCACCTGCTCCTGTGGAGCGGGATACATTGGCCGAACAACGCGACGTCTGGAGATTGTAAATTGTGCTGAATATCCACGCTTGAGTAACGTTTCTTTGAGGTTGGCTATTTCTGCTTCCAATATATCTATAAAGCAGATTGTTCTCGTCCTCTGGAAGAGAGTATACACTAATTTTCGTTTCCATTGAATGGGAACAAAACTCAAATAATGCAAGTCCTGTCCTTTCCATGTATTCATATGGAAAGCTGTCCGTGGAATAGAGCCATCTTCCTTTCTGGACACGTGAACGTCTAGGAAGGAAAGCTGGTTCTCCCATCCCTGTTCCATAAGTACAGAGTTAGGGAACACTTCGAAAAAAGGCGGATACAGCGTAAAGTTATTTCTTTTTCGTGTGCTATTGTCAAAACATTGTCCCCTACTTTGATCAAAAAGCCCTGAGTCCTCCCCGGACCGCCCTATGGCGAGGTCGCTTCATATAAAAACCTCTTCTAATTCCCAGGTCCTCAAAATCGGGTTAGGTTTGGAGGGAGGGTTACAAAACCTTTTGGAAGTTTAGTTTATAGGATAATCCATGCCGTTTGCGCCTTGGTCGCAACTGATACACGCATATCGTAGGACTGACTGACTGACAGACTGCGATCAATCGATCGATAATTCCTCTCTTCATGATAGGCTCCTTTCCTTCTAACTGCCAAGGTTTATCTTTCAGCCAAAGAAGATATTTGTTCAAGTATAAAAAATGCACAGTTTTCTGACGGTTCTGACACCACTGACTCTATCAATTTAGCAATTAAAGCGCTAGAATACACCACTTTGATTCACATTCAAAAAATTGGGGGAACAGAGAGTAATAAAGAGGATGGCATCTGGGTCTTACCTGGCCTGGAAGTCGGCAAGCTGTTGTTTGATGGTCTCAATATCTATCTCATTCCACGGGATGTCGTAGTAACCGTTAACCGTATCCAGCACCGCATTGTAGAGCTGGTAGAGTTTCTGCAGCAGACCCAGTTCCTTGCGAATCTGTTGTAGTTCCGCATATTCACCAACAGGCATGCCAAAGAGCTTCTGGCCACCAGAGTAGGTTTCGTACTTGCGCCATAACTCGTCAAAGCGTGACTGGAATATGGTTAGTCGATCCGATGCCTCGGAGGGAGAACATTTGGGATCCATTGGGCCGCTGTGATTAGAAAAGAGTAGAAGTAATGAGGATATCAGTCATTGCTATCATCATCCCCGGAAGAGGAAGAAGAAGACGAGGCAACTTGGTCTCAGAGATTGCCCCGTCTTCTTCTTCCTCTTCCGGCGGATGATGAAAGCAATACTATAAGTGGACCTCAATATATTTTCGCATGTATCAGTCATTTTAACTTATCACTATTCAACTACACTACGGCCTAGAATTCGTGTAGCATACCGACATATGCGAAAGATTACTGCTCATTTAGTCTATTCTGAGATCATTTCAGTCACGATAGGATGCCGGCTTTTTAACGAGCTTCTTTCTCGCCGCTAGTAAAACGCATGTAAGGCAAAAAGTGGCTACTTAAGTAGTATGCATTATTATCATTGATTTTGACTACCCTTATAAATTCAAATATATTTTACGAAAAACACATATGAACAAATTATTTCTTGCACTCGTTTGGTAGCAAATAATGCCTTCTATGCATTTATTATTTAAAAAAGGTACCTTTCGGTTTTAAAAGTTTATAAATTGCCGAATAATTTTGAAACCTACAGACTGCTACACATGAATTGAAGGTTTACAAGCTGCGCGCTGTTTACGTCCTGTTCAAGGAAAATTACGTTTTCTCCTACGATTTGGGGAAGAAGTCAGATAATTATCATAAAATGTTGCAATAGATATGGATCATGCTGTATACATTATAGGCGGCATTAATAAATAGATGGGTACGATTTATTATGAATGAAGACTTCACAATCGTAAAAAAACTTAAAATTATAAACTTCTTAAAACCGAAAGATGGCCTTTCTTTAAATATAAACTTTAAAGGAGGCGTAATTTCCTACCAAAGGAGTACATGAAATACTTGTTTCGTGTATGTTTTCCATAAAAAATATTTGAATTCATAAAGGCATTCAAAATCAATGATAAAAATGCAGAATACTTAAGTGAGCACTCTTTACAGTGCATTCTTTTTGTTAGCCGTTAGAAGGAAGCTCGTTAAAAAGTAAGCATTCTGTCATAATTGGAATGACTTCAGAATAGACTACATGATAATCAATATTGCAATATTACTCTGCCGTGCTTTAATTCTTTGCGTCTCGCCAACTCTGTATTAACCGAAGGTTAACCTCCGATTGCAATATTACTCAATGCCGATTAGTGAAAGAGTATCAATCTTTCGCATATGTCGGCATGCTACACGAATTCCAGGCCGTATTGTAGACTGTGTAGAGGCGTTACACCTACCACTTCATGTAGTCATCAACGAAAGAGGCGTTGAGAACGTCGAACTCCTCCACGCCGGCTACCAAGGCATTGCGGAATTCGGGCTGGACACGAAGGAGTTCGTCGTTAGTTACTGAGGCCTGGGCACGAAGCTTTGATAGACTGTAAGCCAGTGCGTCAACGCGTTCCGCATTCCCATCGTTGAAGTAGATCTCGTGCCGATTTAAGAGGGCGTAGGCCTCTTCAATGGGCTGAATAGACCTCTCAATATTCAGCTCATTTTCACGCAGTTCAGCTAGGGTGGCCATCTGTGACCTGACATCATCCAGGTCCTTCACCGGTCGAAGAAGACGTTTCATCAGACCGTCCATTCGCGTGCCAAGTTCTTGCATCTCGATCGCGCATTTCTTATTTACTGCCCTTCCGATGGCTTGTCTCCAGTTTTGACATTCAGCAGTCAGACCTCCTCTTAGCTCCTGGCTCTTGAGTAGCAGGGGACCGACTTGGTAATGTGATGGCAGACTGCTAACCGCGGTTTCCAGATCCTACATAAACACGAAATGTATGTGAATTCAGTTAAAACATGAAAATACCGGCAAAACTGTCTTGTAGGGCTGCCTAAATATCTATTCTCCCCACCCAACTACTGTCCAACGGAATTGGTGGTTAAACATTTACTTCTTGATTAAATGGATCCGACAAAGCAAAAGGAGACCGGAATGGCCATTTCCGACTTGTTAGCCGTCATCGGCCAGTCATATCAAATCTCAGGGGTTGGAAACCCCGCGATTTGAACCCGGGACCTTTGGTCATTGAGTTCAATACCGCAGGCACGTTCGGCACCGCAGGCTCTTTGCTTTGTCGGTTGAGATCGGGAATATGATTAATATATGTGTTTCGCCGATCTAGTAGAGGAACAATTAAGTTCCGCTTGGCCCAGGAGCTCACAACGTGAATCCACCAGACCGTCATCATATGCCCGATGTCCCGGGTTCAATTCTCGGGGGTTCCAACCCTTGAGATTGGGTATGACTGGCCGATGACGGCTGACAAGCCAGCAATGGCCATTCCGATCTCCCTTTGCGTTGTCGGATCCAGTTCATCATATCATCATAGTCACCATATGAAGATCTGGCGGGTTCACATTGTGAGCTCCCCCCATGAGAACCCCAAACCTCTCGTGTAGTCCAGCGCGATCTGCTTGTACCCGCTGATCTCCAACCCTCTACAAAGAGACCGCATGTTCGCAGGAAATCCCAAGTGTCCTACAGAATCACCGCGTGAAGATGAGAAATTTGGCAATCTCATATTCCCATCTGTTATGCTCATCTTTTATTTTCTCTGCTACAGACACAGTTATAGCATGTAGCAAAATTAGTTGATAATGGAGCAGATTGCTTCCCTCTGACACAGAAGACCTCTCCTGAAACCTAAAGATGGAGTTTAGATACTGCAAAAGGTTAGCCTGCTAACAGTAAATGGCACCATGCGACATAAAAACATGCTGAAATTTGAGCTATTTCTTAATAACTTTTAGTCAACCAATAAGATGTCACAGCCTGGTGGATAGAGTTGAGAGGGCAGAAAGCAAAGAGAGCCCTGATGTGCTAGTATCACCATTATTTTAGTTGACCAAATTGTGAAAAATAACTCTCGGCATTCGGCGGGATTCGAACCCACATAGGAGGGAGGCATATTACACAAACCATCGCTCTACCTACTTGAGTTACGAATGTCGCACTTCAGACCGTGAGTTTAATCACACTTGGATCGATATTACCCGCCCAACTTTGCCACGTATATGGAATCCACCAATACGGGACAGCAAGTTGATTGCCCAAGCAGGATTTCCTAAGCAAACATCTAGAATCCACCAGAATGACTATTAGGCTGACTTAATTATTAAGTGTGTTTGGCAGATTTGGTTAATTTATTTGACCCAATTGTGAAAAAACTCGCGACATTCGGCGGGATTCACCATTATCACTAATACTGTATTAGGCCTAAATGTAGTTTATTGACGGCAAAATTCTCGACAAAGGACATGCTAGGACTTACGCACAACTCTATAAACGTTCTTTTATTATCAACATGCTGATCATTATTACCTCACACAGATCGGGAGTATATACTGAGTGCGACTCCTTAAAAAGCATTCACAGTCAGTACTTATAGTATACTGAGTACTGGCCTTAGTAAGCATGATAACTAGAATAAGCACTTCTAGCATAGGCACGTAGCTATATCACAGTCATCTTAGTCCGTGCAGCTCGATGGATCGAGTTGAGAGTTCGGAAACCAGGCAAACGAAGCTTTGCTCACGGCCCCAAGCATGTACTTACCCGAAATAGTTAAACCCAGATTCACATTCCTTGCTGAGATCAAGGGAATACGAGCCCTAGCTTTGGCCTAGTCAGCGTTACCTCTGACAAGTGGTGGCGTCAGTGCTAGCATCAGTACTACTACACTTCTTGTAGAGACTGAAGGGATATGAGCCCAGTGCTGACTTTAATCAACGTCACTTCTGACTAAAAAACAGCCAGTAAAAGTAACAGCAAACACTATTACCCAGCTACACCCTAGTTAGTAGTATTAGAAATAGCAGAAGTGGTAGTAGGAGTACCATTCCTGGCTGACTAAAGCCTGGCTAGGCACCTACTATAGGTAAGTAAGGGTAGACAGTGCAAAGTCTACTCTCACTAAATACTATGTTAGACGGTGTTTCTGGCTGCGGCCTACGCCTTCTCCCTACTCGGTTACCTCGACTTTGTCTTGTCACCGTTTGATGCAGTTGAGAGTGTTTAGAGTGGGGTAGATGGCGGCGCGTCTACTTTCACTATACCTGACCACAGTCACCGTCTCTGCTCTCGGGCAAATGGTGTAAATCTTCGCTTGCGATGGTCGAGCTAACACACAGAGGAACAATTAAGTTCTGCTTTGCCCAGGAGCTCCCAACGTGAACCCGCCAGGCCGTCATCATATGCCCGATGTCAACCGACAAAGCAAGGAGCCCGTGGTGCCGTGGTAGAGTATCGAACTCAATCACCAAAGGTCCCGGGTTAAAATCTCGGGGGTTCCTACCTTTGCGATTGGGTATGACTGGCCGATGACGGCTAACAAGCCAGAAATGGCCATTCCG